CCCTATGTATCACAATGTCTCAGTGCCCCATGTGTCCCAGTGTCCCCATGTTGCCCACTGTCACTTGGACACTAGGGGACACTTAAGAGACATTGGAATACTGTGAGACATTGGGACACTGGGAGACCCTGAGACATAGGGACACTGGTAGACATGCGGGCACTGAGACACTAGGGACACTGACTGGGAGATATGGAGACACAGAGACTTGAGGACACAGATAGTGATGTCCCGAACAGTTCGCCGAACGGCATCCATTTTGAAGCTGCATTCTTAGTGAGCTGTCCAGGAGGTGGGAGGGTCTGGGAGGGAGCGTCTGCTGCTGATTGGCTGGAATGTGTCTGCTGACTGGAGTCCGCGGCGAACCGTTTGCGGCGAACCGTTCGGGACATCACTAGACACAGACACTAGGGACACAGTGTCTCAGTGTCCCCATGTCTCCCAGTGCCTAGTATCTCACAGCATCCCCTAGTTTCTCAGTGTCCTCTGATCTTCCAGTGTCCCCAGGTGTCTTAGTGCCCCAGGTCACCCAGTGTCCCCTAGTGTCTCCCAGTGTCCCCATGTCTCCCTGCAGCTTTTACCCCATCCCTCACTTCCCTGAGCTGTAGGCTGTCTCTGCAGGCTGGGAGATGCTGTCTGAACTCTCTGTGCGGTGTAGCTGCTCACCCGAGGATCAGTGAGTAGAGAGTTTTTGTTTTTTTCCAAATCATTTGGCCTATTCCATGGGCCTGGGCCTGGGCCTGGAGCTGCAGCTCCATCAGCCCCTATGTTAATCCGGCCCTGCCAACACTAGTAATTCTTAGTGTAAATGTCAAGGCTCTCAGTTGGTTTCTGAAAGTTACAAGCCACAAATTCCAAGGAAACATTTTTAAGCTTAAAGGACCACTCTAGGCACCCAGACCACTTCAGCTTAATGAAGTGGTCTGGGTGCCAGGTCCTTCTAGGGTTAACCCATTTTTTCATAATTATAGCAGTTTCAGAGAAACTGCTATAATTATGAATGGGTTAAGCCTTCCCCCTAATCCTCTAGTGGCTGTCTCATTGACAGCCACTAGAGGCGCTTGCGTGCTTCTCACTGTGATTTTTCACAGTGAGAGCACGCCAGCGTCCATAGGAAAGCATTGTAAATGCTTTCCTATGACCGGCTGAATGCGCTCTTGCCGCGGCCGCGCGGGGCGTAACGGAGGCGAGAGGAGGAGGAGAGCTCTCCGCCCAGCGCTGGAAAAAGGTAAGTTTTACCCCCTTTCCCCTTCCAGAGCCGGGCGGGAGGGGGACCCTGAGGGTGGGGGCACCCTCAGGGCACTATAGTGCCAGGAAAACGAGTATGTTTTCCTGGCACTATAGTGGTCCTTTAAAGTTTTCACAAAACTGACCAAATTTAAATTGGGAATGGGATACTTGGAGTTTGGTGCCAATGCTCCTCAGAACATACTACACTATTGTACATCATATACATCGCTACTGTCAATGTCTGAGTCTATAAGAATTTAAGCATATTCAGAGAGAAAGTAGGAGATAAAAAAAAAAAAGGAAAAAAACATGTTTTCTACTTTTTTCCATTTTATGTGCCTGCAAATCAAACCTCAAATGCATATCTATTTTAAAGAGGCACCCTAAGAACCCTATCAAAACAGCTCATCTCAGTGTTAATTGTACTTTGACTGGGTGTCATCCATCAGTCACCTGCAAACAGTTTTGGAGTGATCTTCTTGGTACTCATAGATTCAAACTGATAAATTTGTAAATAACACTTCTAAATTAACGATTGCAGATCTGTCCAGATGGAAGGCGGACAAAGTTGGAGTCTGGTTAAAGCAGCTCTGTCACCATCTTTGTCACATTTTTCACCTGCCCTTCGCGGCCACCACTTTGGTCTTCCTGGTGATCTTCTCAAACTCCTGGCACTTCAGAAGCTGATGTCAGTGTCGCGCATGCATGAAAATAGACTACGGTCTATGGAGGTTGTGCAGGACCATGAGATCCTCCATAGACAACAAATTTTCACTGCAGTCTTCACTAGTGACGGCTGGGGGAAATGACAAAACTTTTGGTGGAAGTTTCACCTTTTGTAAATTGAGAATGTACATAAGACTAATTAGTCCCTACTGTGTCCCTGTATATCTTTTGACGGAGTTGAAACAGAGCCACTTTAACCCAGCCGTCTTCATTGCTGTCTAACACTACGGCCCCTACAAATGAAGCTGATGTAGTGCAGGAAACATAAGCGATGGTTACAGTTACAGTACTCGGAGTCTTTAATATCACCAATATCTGTTATAAGTTGTGATTAGGTAGAAACCCATGTATTTAATAGATATTAAGGAGTGTTAAATAACACCATAATGTGTAGTAAAATAATCCATCAGCAGCTTGTTTCCTAGCCAGCTATAACTTTTCTCATAATTTTACAAAGATTTATTTTTCTTTGAGCAACAGGTGATTTTTTATATTTTTAATTAGGAGGAGCTTGCATGAAAGAAGCATTTAACATGCAACCTTTTAGTCATTTTAAATTTCAAATGGCTTTTAAATTGCTGTTGCCACGGACAACTTTAAAATCACTTGTATCATTTAAGTGTTATCAGCCTGCTTTATTTACACAAAATATTGCTCCTCAGTTGTGTTGTCTAATTAAAGGGATCCTATAGTGCCAGGAAAACAAACCCGTTTTCCTTGCACTATAGGTCCCTATAGTGTCCCCCTCCCTCGCAACCCCTCTCCTGGGTGGCTGGTGGCTGAAGAGGTTAAAACTCCTGCAGCCACTTACCCATACTCGTTTTCCTGGCACTATAGTGCCCTGAGGGTGCCCCCACCCTCAGGGTCCCCCTCCCGCCGGGCTCTGGGAAGAGGAAGTGTGATGGGATTCCAGCATGGTCAAAATTTAGTAGGCCAAAATCTCCATGTGGCATATGTGTATGTTGTGTCAGTTGGTTAGCTACATGTAGCTAGGATACTGTCATCAGTGTACTGAGCATGTGCAGGAATGCAGGAACTGAAATTGCACTTATTTCCTTTTGTCTTGGATGAGCCATGTGGTTTGACTAGATGTACAAGTCTATATTCTGCTCATTGATTGGTTAAAGGTATATGTGGGTGTAGCTATTAATGGGAGGAGTTATAGTGCTATATAAGGAATGTACACTATGTGTTGGTCTCTCAGATCTTTTGGAACAGGAGTTCATCTGAGACCCGATCGGTAATGTGAATAAAGGCCTGTTACTTCCTGAAGACCTGTGTCCAATATTTCTGTGTTTGGCTTCTGCATGCTTACACTGCAACATCTCTGGTGCATTGGCAGTGGGAACCTCATTGCATGGAAGCTAGCGCAGAGATTTGAGACGGTAAACTTTTACCAAACCTTCTACGCTACAATCCTGGACTTCTACTGCGTGGACTTCCTTTCGTCTCGGCGCCACAGGCCTTTTGTCCAGGAGATCATCGGCTTCTGCGCAGTGAGTCCCGGATTGTTCCGTCTATGAGTGAACCCAGGTCCAGAAACTAACAGGTGAGATTGATACCGTTAGAGCGGTAGACCCACAAGGGGTTTTATATTTGGAACCGGTTATTGGAATCTGCCCTGTCCTAATGGATGGAAGAAGTGAAAAGCGCAACGCTTATCTGGAAATTAGACGCTCTGTAGTCAGCCCGTCTAATATAGGTGGTTTGGGTCAGACTGAGTTCTGGTGTAAATAGCTCATGTCGGACACCGGTGTCCTGTCTTGACTAGCGTATCTAGGGTGTAAATTTTGTTCGCTAGGTCGGGGGGACCGGGAGACTAGCATACTCTGTTGTATATTATAGTTTGCTAGATTTCACCCTATCTTAACTAAGTGTGCTCTGTTGTAAATCCAGCCACTAGCTTATTGATAGTTTAATAGACTAGCTGGGTACTGTGTAAATTCTGCCTGCTAGTTCGCTATACGTGGTGTCTGGGCAGCGAAGAACTTATCGAATCTCTGGTGTATAAATAGATCGAAAGCTCTCGAGGTGCTGGCCAGTTAGAATAGTTGGGATTATTGTAAATGTTGTTAAATATATTGTAGTTGGTGAATTGGTTAACTTGTATGTCCTACTAGAAAGTTAGAGCTCTGCTGTCTAGTGGGAGTGTAAATTGTGTGTATAACTGTAAAATAGCGCACGGTACCATAACTACTGACATGTACCATAACCACTGACATTGTGTAAAAATTACTAACAATTGCTGTTTTATGTTATATGTATAATACCATAACTGTTACTAACTGATCTGTGACTTTAAAACTGTATTATAACCACTTACTAACTGTACCATAACCACTGACTGTAAAGATGAGGTTACTAGAATGTGATATAGTTGGTTAGTCAAAAGTTGATTTATAGTACGGATAATTGTAGAGATGAAATTGTTGAAATGTTATGTGATCGGTTAGTTTATATGGATTAATAGCGTGGATAGTTGTATGGTTTGAATAATAGTTACATTGATAAGTGTATAGTCTTTGGTGGGTTTTTGATTTAATTTCGTGTGTGCGACGTCGTGATATTGTTGAGCATGTGAGGATCCTGTGTGTGTGTTTGGGCCTAGTGACTGCGCAATGTGTTGCTGGTGATAAGGAGATTGGTGTGACTGTTGAAACTGTGTGTATATTTGTGCAGCTTTTTGAATCAGACGTTCTGTTGAAATAATCTGATTCACTAGGCTGTTAGTCTTTTGTCTTGTATGTTTAAAAAAAAAAAAAGTAGGGAGTAGCCTGTCCTGGTGGCCGCATGGCCTCCATGTAGCAGTCTTCACTTAAATTTAGTGCAGGGTGTACATGTGGCTGTAACTAGTAGGCTGGAATTCTATGATCAGTTTCTATATATTGACTGTTGGAAACTGATTGTTGAAAAACTGCCTTGGTGAATTAAACTGTGTCATCATCTGATCACCCCCTTACACCTATCTTACTACTCCTAGACTGGAACCTATTATTGAGCAGCCTTGCCGAAGTCCCATATTAGAGACTGCTTGAGTCAAATAGATTGTACACTCCTTTCAATCCTGAAGCCCCTGAAAACTTCCGAATGATAGACTCAGCATTTGTCAGCCAGGCCCAAGGTGATATTAAAAGGAAATTACAGAAATTAGAGGGATTTGTAGGGATGTCCATATTACAGCTAATGGAGATTGCAAATACAGTATATATGAATAGGGAGATGGAGGAAGAACGTAAAATGAGGAAAAAGGCAGATATGCTAGCGGTAGCTATCTTAAGTGTAGAAAGGCAGGGAAGTGAATAGAGGAGACGAGAATAGGCTGAGCAAGGGACTTTAAGTAGGAATTAATGTGCGTATTGTAGAAAGGAGGGACATTGGAAGAGTGAGTGTCCACAGAGAGAGCAGTATGAAGGTGATAGACAAGGAGAGAGAAGGGTACGAGGAGGTTATAGTGGTAGTTATAGAGTAAGAGGAAGTTTTAGAGGGAATGATGGGAATAGTAGAGGAAGTGTTCAAGGAGACAGATACTATCCACCCACGCAGAGACCTAGAGAAAGAGAGGATAGAGATTTTGTGGGTCTGGCTGACACTATCATGGAAGACTATTGATACCGACCGGGCTCCATCCCACTTGGTCAAGCGGAGCCTATGGTCGATGTAGCAATAGGGGGAAAGAGAAGTTCTTTCATGATCGACACAGGTGCTGAACATTCTGTGGTGACTAAGATGGTGGCTCCGCCTTCGGGGAAGACTATAACTGTGATAGGAGCTATTGGGAGAAGTGCAGCTAGACCGGTTCTTAAGAGTCGCACTTGTATTCTGGGAGGCCATGTGGTGAAGCATTAGTTCCTATATATGCCAGAGTGTCCGATTCAACTTTTAGGACGAGATCTATTATCGAAACTTTAAGCTCAGATAACCTTTTACCTAATGGATTAACATCTCTGAAGTTTAAGGGATTACCAGGCATAATGGTGATATCGGTGCCAAGGGAAGAAGAATGGCGCTTCTATTCCATAGTGACAAGTGTTAACCCTAAGAGTGATGAATCCTTACTTGACATTCCAGGAGTATGGGAAGAAAATAATCCTCCAGGACTTGCTCGTAATATCCCACCAATACATATTGAGTTAAAGCTCGGGGTGTATTCTGTTAGCCTTTGTATGTTGTTTTTTTATCTACCCCAAAAGCTGTAAAGGTGGCGGAAGTGACTCCTTGGATTCATCATTCTAAGGTTAAACCAGCGGCAGACTCTTGGCAAGCTACTCCAGATCCTGAGAATCCTTGCAGGACCCGGTTGAAGCGTGCAACTCAGTCGGAGTGACGAGGGGATATCGAGACATTCTAGTTAAGTTTACAAAGATCATCAAGTAGGTGTTTTGACGGCCATAATAAAGCCTGACCACCTGCCTACGTGTCATAGCCAGAGTATCTTGAAGGGATCTCTGTGAAGGAAAGTGAGGATCAGAAGAACAACATCCTTGCAGCCCTCACAATCGGGAAGCTGAGAGGCCATCGCACGGTTGAAGAAAAATGAGGATTTCAGGAATAATGTGTTTTATTGTGTCTTAGTATTTTTATGATTTTTCAGGAAGGTAGGAGTACAGACATACCGAATTGCGATAGTTGCATTAAGACTACTAAAACAGGTAACCAAATATCCCAAACTCTCATCTGGCACTCACAGTATGAATGTAAGGGATCTGTATCTAAATGTAGATATTTGGATATTGATTATAGTGTGTGCAAGCCAATATCAGGAGAGTCTAAATGTTTTGATCCCCAATTCCAAATCTGTACAATTTGGTTGGTAATTCGGAATAGTAACTCCCAGGGGACATTAATAAATAGGACTGTGATAAGTACCATACATTCCACGGGTATTCTACTATTTGATGCATGTAAGGCGATTTCGGGTAGTGGAAGACTTTGGAATGTATGTGGTAATCTTAAATGGGAACAAACTTATGGGTTTAATGATAAATACTTATGTCCCAGTAAAAGATCTACTGATCCTGATTGCCCAAATAGAGACTAACTTCTGCCCCTATTTGTCATGTGTAGGTTGGGCAACCTGGGAAAAACAGTGGATCAAGATATGATTATCCAAAGGTTGCCTACCACACCATACTGTAAAACTATGTGTGTAACCCCGTTCACATGACCATTTCCAATCTGCAGTACTTTATTGACAGGTTTGGAGGTCTGTTTGGGTTCCAAATATATGGCACAGGAGTAGATTCAGGAACAATAATATATGTAGGTCTTGAAACTGAGACAGTGGCAACTCAAACTCATCAGGTTTCTCATTCCTTCTATGAGGAGATGAGTATTGAGGATAAAATTCCCCATAATGTTAACAACCTATTTATTGATTTGGCTGAGGGTATTGCAGGTAGTCTTAATGTAACTAATTGCTATGTGTGTGGAGGTACTAATATGGGAGACCAGTGGCCATGGGAGGCAAAGGAAATATGGTACCCTGGCTCTGAGACATATGAACAACAGATACCTTTCCAGTCTGATCATCAAGTAAGTACTAGAAGTAAATTGGAATGGTGGTTGAAAACCTCCATTATAGGTCATGTTTGTATAGCCAGGAAAGGGACAATGTATAACACGTCTGTAGGTGAGCTAACTTGCTTGGGACAAAAAGCCTATAATGTTAATACTAAAAATACTACTTGGTGGTCAGCTTCAAATGTCTCGGAACCTACTAATCCGTTTGCCAATTACACTCATTTAAAGGAGGTATGGTTTGACTTATCGGCTACATCTAGTTGGAAAGCCCCAGCAAATTTATACTGGATCTGTGGTAGGAAAACTTATTCGGAGTTACCACAAGATTGGGAAGGGGCATGTGTATTAGGTATGCCAAAGCCATCCTTCTTCTTGTTGCCAATCGAAACAGGAGAGACCTTGGGAGTTAAGGTTTACGATGTAAATCATAAAAGGGAGAGAGCATCCTTGAATATAGGTAGCTGGGAAGATAATGAGTGGCCCCCTCAACGTATTATTAATTATTATGGACCTGCTACTTGGGCAGAAGATGGCACTTATGGATATAGAACTCCGATTATATATGCTCAACCGCATTATTAGACTACAGGCGGTAGTTGAGATTATTACTAATGAGACAGCTCAAGTGCTTAATCTTCTAGCTAAGCAAAATACCAAGATGTGATCAGCCATATACCAGAATAGGCTAGCCCTTGATTACTTACTAGCAGTAGAAGGAGGTGTATGCGGAAAGTTTAATCTAAGTAACTGTTGTCTGCACATAGATGATGAAGGGCAGGCAGTGGCTGAACTTACAAGCCACATGGTTAAATTTGTGCATGTACCTACTCAGGTCTGGAATGGGTATAACCTAAGTAGTTGGTTTGGAAGTTGGTATGAGCAGCTTGGAGGAATTAAGACATTAGTAGGAGGAGTAGAATTTATTATATTTTTTTTGTGCCTCCTCCTGCCCTGTCTAATTCCACTAGTGGTAAGGTCCCTACGTAGTATTATAGAGAGTACTATAGAGAGAAAGACAGCGGCTCATGTAATGGCTGTCTGGAAGATATGATCCCCTAGCCCGAAGAGAATATATTCAGGATGAAGAATGTTGAAGGAGTTTTTAAGATGCTTACAAGGTCTACTTTGGTTCAATGGCTACTTGAGAGATGTAGGTAAAACTGTGATTGGTGATGCATCTGGAATAATGTTATATCAGAGGCATCAAAGGGGGGAATGTGATGATATTCCAGCATGGTCAAAATTTAGTAGGCCAAAATCTCCATGTGGCATATGTGTATGTTGTGTCAGTTGGTTAGCTACATGTAGCTAGGATACTGTCATCAGTGTACTGAGCATGTGCAGGAATGCAGGAACTGAAATTGCACTTATTTCCTTTGTCTTGGATGAGCCATGTGGTTTGACTAGATGTACAAGTCTATATTCTGCTCATTGATTGGTTAAAGGTATATGTGGGTGTAGCTATTAATGGGAGGAGTTATAGTGCTATATAAGGAATGTACACTATGTGTTGGTCTCTCAGATCTTTTGGAACAGGAGTTCATCTGAGACCCGATCGGTAATGTGAATAAAGGCCGGTTACTTCCTGAAGACCTGTGTCCAATATTTCTGTGTTTGGCTTCTGCATGCTTACACTGCAACAGAAGGGGTTAAACTTATCTCTTTCTCCAGCACCGGGCGGGGAGCTCTCCGCCTCCTCTTCGGCTGAATGCGCATGCGCGGCAGGAGCTGCGCATGCATTCAGCCAGTCTCACAGGAAAGCATTCATAATGCTTTCCTATGGACGCTTGCGTCTTCTCACTGTGATTTTCACAGTGAGAAGCACGCAAGCGCCTCTAGCGGCTGTCAAGAGACAGCCACTAGAGGCTGGATTAACCTATTTATAAACATAGCAGTTTCTTTGAAACTGCTATGTTCATAAAAAAAAAGGGTTAACCGTAGCTGGACCAGGCACCCAGACCACTTCATTAAGCTGAAGTGGTCTGGGTGCCTATAGTGGTCCTTTAATCTTTACCAAATACAATTGAAAGGCATGTTAGCCAGACAATATGTAACAATAACCTTCAAAAACTGAGAATGAACAGTATCTGTGTCACGCTCAGTAACACCTTATTGGTAGAATATGACAAAATTAAAAATACACTTTTTTTCAATACATACTTATACCTGAGGGCAAATACAAAAACAGCAACATACACACTCTTAATTAATGCAACTATAAAATGAACAATGTGAAATGTATGTATTATTCACAACAATCATTAAAAATAAAAAATATTAGGGAAAAAATAGGTGTAAGTAGAACTGTACCATGAAAACATAAATATGAAACCAATGGGGTTTTTAAAAAAAAAAAAATGTAATTCTTTATTTTTGTCTTGCTTAAAGGAACATTATAGTCACCTAAATTACTTTAGCTAAATAAAGCAGTTTTAGTGTATAGATCATTCCCCAGCAATTTCACTGCTCAATTCACTGTCATTTAGGAGTTAAATCACTTTGTTTCTGTTTATGCAGCCCTAGCCACACCTCCCCTGGCTATGACTGACAGAGCCTGCATGAAAAAAAAACTGGTTTCACTTTCAAACAGATGTAATTTGCCTTAAATAATTGTATCTCAATCTCTAAATTGAACTTTAAAAATCACATACAGGAGGCTCTTGCAGGGTCTAGCAAGCTATTAACATAGCAGGGGATAAGAAAATCTTAATTAAACAGAACTTGCAATAAAGAAAGCCTAAATAGGGCTCTCTTTACAGGAAG